AACAAGTGGCATATTTATTTTCAATGGTCCAGCACAACAAATAAATTAAAATATTTTTCAATAACAAACATACTTCCTAATTCAAAACTTGCTAGTTTATAAAAATTGTTAGGGTATTGAAATAATATATGTTTGGGATTTTCTTCAAAATAATCTTGTTGGAGGAGAAAAAGTGGGGATACAGAGGGAATAAGACTGGTCACTGGTTTATTAAATGTTTCTACTTCTCTATATGGTTGGAGGTTTTCTCAAGTTACATACACATACATGCATACATACATACACACACATACACACTCTCTCTTTTCAAGATATCCAATTTCTGGCAAAATGCTCACCTGAGTATTTCCCAATAATCTCACATTTCTCTAAAATATAGATTCTGTTGTTCACAAGTTTTGTTTCCAATGCTTGAAAAATGTCCTTACTCTGGTAGATTTAACTATTAATTGGAATAGGATTCTTTTTTTTTTTTTTTTGAGACAGAGTCTCGCTTTGTTGCCTAGGCTACAGTAAGTGCCGTGGCGTTAGCCTAGCTCACAGCAACCTCAAACTCCTGGGCTCAAGCAATCCTTCTGCCTCAGCCTCCCAAGTAGCTGGGACTACAGGCATGTGCCACCATGCCCGGCTAATTTTTTCTATATGTATTAGTTGTCCAATTAATTTCTTTCTATTTATAGTAGAGACAGGGTCTCGCTCTTGCTCAGGCTGGTTTCGAACTCCTGACCTCGAGCAATCCGCCCGCCTCGGCCTCCCAGAGAGCTAGGATTACAGGCGTGAGCCACCGCGCCTGGCCCTGGAATAGGATTCTAATAGAGGATGAACAAGCAGGATGAGACAGGCAGTTTTCAACTAAATCAGTTCTTTAGGATTTCTTTTTAAGGAATTCTATAATACAGTTATAGAAGCAAATGCCTGAGATGGCTGAACACAGCAGAAGTTTCTTTAACACAAACTCTTTGAATAAATTTAACTTATAAGCTGTTCTACTAAAATGCTGGAAGACCAGTAAAATGGAGTAAAAGTTGTGTTGTCCCTTCCAGTAGGTACTCAGTGCATTCTCAGTCAACACATCCTACACATCATTGCAGCAATGAGGAAGGAGTTCTAATATATATGCCAAGTGAACAATTCCCTCCTCAGGTTCTGCTTAACATCAGGATAAGAAGAATGATAAATAAAGCTAGGATGACAGGAAAGCATGCTGCAGAGTTCTCACTTTTTTAACTAGAAAAAGGCATAGGCTTTTACGCCCATGAATATTAACAGTTCTACAGTTTCACCTAAGTCCACTTCTGCCACTGCCAAATAGCTTTTTGAAAAGTCAAGGGCAGCAAAATAGTTGGTCTACTAAATGAAAGTAAAGTGTTAGAGCACATTACTAAAACAAAAACATCAGTTTTCCTTTGATTTCCCAGGACATCACAAATTACATTAAACCTATATTCTTTTATTTTTTTTGAGACAGAATCTCACTCTGTTGCCCAGGCTAGAGTGAGTGCTGTGGCGTCAGCCTAACTCACAGCAACCTCAAACTCTTAGGCTCAAACAATCCTGCTGCCTCAGCCTCCCGGGTAGCTAGGACTACAGGCATGTGCCACCATGCCCGGCTAATTTTTTCTATATATATTAGTTGGCCAATTAATTTCTTTCTATTTATAGTAGAGACAGGGTCTCGCTCTTGCTCAGGCTGGTTTTGAACTCCTGACCTCGAGCGATCCACCTGCTTCGGCCTCCCAGAGTGCTAGGATTACAGGCATGAGCCACCGTGCCTGCCCTTAAACCTACATTCTTAAAATGCTGATATAAACTGAAGAACTTACACTGTTTATACATATTTTGCTTTTGAGAACTTTTAAAAAATTCATGTATTATATTATTTGAGGACTATGATTATTCGATCTTATGGAAATAAAGCCTTGTTTGCATCTCCTCAGAAAAAGATTAAGTACTAAAACATTAGAATTCAGAAATATGGTGCTAATTCACTACCATCCAAGGTGACAAAATTCAACTCTTGTTAGGTAACCTCTGAGCAAGCAAAAACTTGCTGGTAATCATTATTCTACTCAAAATACAAAATTCACAGTAAATGGACACTGTGAAGGGCACTTATTCCTTCTGGTCTTAAGAAATCCTAACATGTGGCAAAAAACAGACCCCAGATACATCTAAATAGCCTAAACATATTTTCCATTAGTCAAAAAAATCAAGACATGAAGTGGGAGAGAATTAACATTTACTGAATACCTAACAAGTGCTAGGCAACTCTGCTTAGGGTTTGACATATTACTTCATTTAAAATGCAAAATAACCCTGTGATGTAGGCCCTATAATGACCATTTACAGATTGGGAAACTATAACTTGCTTATGATCACAAATCTAGAAAATGTCAAGGCAACAATATAAACCCAGGTCTGTCTGATTCCAAAATCCAGCAATCAAACTATTCCATTGATACTGTATCTTGGGAATCTAGGAGAAACTCATCAGAAATAAACCAATAAAACCGGGAATATAATGGACAAGTTCAAATTCAGAGCTACAAGGTCTACTTCAAAGTTTATGTAAAAGAAATAGGTTGTTTATATAAAAGAAATTCTGCACTGAGTGACTGGACAAGATGATCTTTATGATCCCTTAGAACTTGTAAATTTTCAAAATTAGCCAAGTGCTCAGAATTACATACATCAGGATTGCCAACTCTTAGATCCCAGATAGGCTATTTCATGATACTCAGTCCAGACTACTCCATTCAAACTACATTTTCTGGAACTTCTTTCTTGATATCTCTAATCTTTTATTTGTATTTGTTAACCCAAGGCTCAAAACTGCAAATCTGCTACAACGTAGGGAGCTAACTAATATCTTGTAATTAGGCCGGTAACACAATCCATGCCCATGTTTATATAACATGTAAATGAGGCATCTAAGTACTTTCAATCAATAATATTACTGCTCATTTATTAACTCCAATGTGTGCAAAGCTCAGATCATTCCTGAATCTCAAGCTGTTCAGTAAATCGAACATCTAGCTCATCAGACTCAGGAGAAAAGAGAAAAACCCAAAAACAGCATTATTAAGTTCACAGTGATTATCTAGCTTAAAATTTTCATCCCAAGCAGGATTTGTAGAGTTCTCTGTGCTGAAGGGCAGCAGTCAGAAGAATAAAACATTCACTCACTCAATCAAAACCATGAAAAACCATCTTCCATTTCACATAAACTTTTATCTGCACAAAAATAACAAGTTTAAGTTTCAGACAACTTTGTTAATGAAAGACTTAACATTCTAGACTTAAGACTTTTGTAGCTAGCGGGGGAAAAAAACCAACAAAAGTAAATGTCATCTAAAGCCATATGAGCCCTCGAGAGTTTTCAAAACCAAACGACGAAGGTAAATAATGGTTCAAATCTACAGGCATAGGAAATAAACAAACACTGGCTCACAGTCTACTACAACCACCAAATCTTCAATATTTCCTTAGATGTCGTTCGCGCGTACACGAATAACTCCATTTTTCAGGTGGCTGCATGGTCTACCCACGTTTCTGTCCATTGACAGTAAGCTACCTCAGTGCTCAGCTTATCTTTTTTACCACAGGGTGGGGGAAGGGAGGGCTAGAAGTTACTCCACTTTATTCTTCTCGTGTGGAAAAAAGGTTAAAATTAAGCCACAATATTTTACTCATGTAACCGCTCGAACTCTGTAAGTGGGCCTTCATAAATGGGTCACTAGCCCTGGGCAGACCTGAGAAAAAAACGGCAAGCGAATTTTGAGACTTTCCATATGGTATGAGCCATAGGGCTCGATTCCCAACTTCCTAGTCTCATTCCGGCCAGAGACTCCGGACCACGAAGCTTACACGTGGGCCAGCCCGGCCGCTGCTGTCACCTCTCGCCGCCAGTTGGCGGGTGGGATCCAGACCCAAGCGTAGACCCTCAAGGGCCCAGGCCGCCGCCCTCCGCGAGGGAGTGCGGGGAACCACGCTGGCCGTCGCCGGCCCACATGGCCGGCAAGCGGAGGAAAAGAGGGCACTGCTGGGCCCTTACGCTCGCGCCTGGACCCACGGCCCGCAGGCCCGGGCGACGCCCCTGGGCCCAGAGTCCGCCTGCCCACTCACCGACGGACAGCCCTGCCCGCCACAGCGCCAGCCCGCTTCCACGCTGCCCGGCGCCCCGGCCCGCACCCACCTTGACGTCCTCGTCCTCGTCCTCGCCTTCCCATCGGTCCCCGCCGGCAGTGCCGCCGCCGCCCCCCACTTTCCGCACGGGATCTTCAACGGAGAACGTGTCCGCGTCTACGGAAGAGAGCGAGCCGCATTAGTGCCTGACTCGGCGTGGGGCCGGCGCCGGCCCGGGCCCTGGCCCCGGAACTTCTCCTCACCCCAGGAGTCGGAGTCCCCCGCCGCCGCCGCTGCCGCCGCCATCTCGAACCGGGCGTGAGCGTGTGTGAGAGGAAGAGCTAGCGAGGAGTTAGCGCGGCGGAGGTGAGTCACTGGGCTTGCTCTCGTTGGCCGGCGCGGGGCAGGCTGGGACCGTGGCTGACTGTGCGCCAGGGCCGAAGCCCCGCCCCTTCTGGCGGCCGCGGCCGCGACGGCGACGCGAGCGGGCAGGAAGGGGGCGTGGACTCGAGGATGGCAGGGCAGTGCGTCCGGTTTCCCAGGACGCGAAATAGTCCTGGAGCTTGTGGGTTGGGGAGACCGCTGCCCTGGCTTGGGCCCGGCGAGGAAACGTAAGTGCAGGGAAGTTAGTAGGGAGGTCCCTTGCCTGGCTCTTGGCTCTCCTCAGTCCTCGCCAACCCTCCCCTGCCAACCCCATCCCAGCTACGACCCGAGGGTGCACCATCCGTCTGGTCACTGTGATCACCGCCCTTGGCCGCTGGCTGATAGCCAGGAGACCCCGCACCCCATCCTCTCCACGTTGCGCTCAGAAGAGGGCTTTGAACGCCGTCCCCGCCAGTGGGGGCGGTGGACGGGCCGTCCAGATCCCCTGAGGGTGCAGTCGCGCGCTGGCGGGGAAGGGGCCATTCGAAGCCCCGCGTGCTCTGGGCGCTGGTGAAGGAGCGAATGGAGAGGGCCGCGTTCTTGGCAACCTTCCCAGCCGGCTTGGGGCACGTTTGTCTCGAGTTAGTCACGAAGGGATCGAAGAGAGCCCCAGTCCTCGAGGCTTTCCCTTCCTGTGAGTCCCTGGAGGCCAGCACTTTGATTTTTTTCTTTCGCAGAACAATTTCGAAACTCCTCAATCTGTGCTAGACATAGCTGTAGTTTTGTCCTCAGTCAACTAGCAAAGATAGAGGTGTAAACAAATTTCGACACAGTGTGATGACTGCAACAAAAAGAAGCATTATGAGGTTAAATATAAAAAGGTAACATTATCGGTGGCGGAGGGTCGGAGGATGTAGGAAAGGCTTCCTGAAGTAGGCGCAGGTGAAACTGGCGTTTGAGAGACCAAGTGAAATTTGATCAAGCGCATTTCCGGTAGAAAGAACTCGCGTGGTCCCTTAACTTACTGGAGCAATCGGAGATAAACTGAGCAGGTAAACTGATTATAAAGGGCTTAAAATGGGCTAACCTCTCTCCTTGGGCCACTGGGCTCCACTGCAGGGTTTTGAGGGGCAAACCGTTTCATGTATTTTGATTTTTGTTTTCTTTATTTTTGTATATATAATACATGTACTTGGTACAACATTCATGTTATAAAAGCATAGATACAACAATCAGCCACTCTGTTCTTTCTAGTGGAAACCATTGTGCTCACTTTCTTGTGTATCTTTTCAGAGAGTCTATAAATATTTTATAAACAAGGTCTTTCAAGAGCCCAGTTAAACTGTGAGAGGCAATGATCTACAGACATCCGTTTATAAAGGTGGATTGGAAGGAGGCAAGACTTAAGGAGGAAAAAGTTGGCATTTGAGTCCCTAAGGGCACAGTCTATCTTATTTACAATTGTATCTCCAACATTTGGCATAGTACCTAATAAGTATTTTATAAATAATTAAGTGGGAAGAACACAAGCCTAAATTAAGACAATGGCAATGGAGAGGAAGGAAGCAATCTGAGAAATATTTAAAGGTCAGAGTCAATAGAACTTAGTAACTGTAATGGTTAATTTTATGTATCAACTTGGCTAGGCCATGGTATCCATAGTACTCAGTTTTTGGTCAAACACCAGTCTAGTTGTTGCTATGAATATATTTGTTAGATGTGATTAATATTTAAATTAGTAGACTTTGAATAAAGCAGATTACCCTCCATAATGAGAATGAGCTTCATCCATTCAGTCCAAATTAAGACAAGTCCCTTAGAAAGAAGCAATTCTGCCTCCACCATTTGTATCAAATCTTTCTTGGGTCTCCAGCCTGCTTGCCTGCCCTGTAGGTTTCCTACTTACCAGCTCTCATAATCATGTGAGTCAATTCCTTAAAATAAATCTTTATATATATACAGAATATATGTATTATTGATCCTGTTTCTCTGGCCTTTGGAGATTGAGTGACACCCATCTAGTTGCTCCAAGTCAAAAACTTTAGAGCTATTCTTGATTTCTTCTCTCTCCCTAAATTCAATCCATCACCAAGTTCTATAGTCCTACCTTCAATATTAATCTTGAAGCCATTTAATTACCCTCAAGTCTCTTGCTACCACCTTAATCCAGACCATTTCTAGACCAGCAGTCCCCCAACCTTTTTGGCACCAGGGACTGGTTTCATGGAAGACAGTTTTTCCCTGAATGGGATTGGGGGAGGCAGAGCTCAGGTGGTAATGTAAGCAATAGGGAATGGCTGTAAATACAGATGATGCTTCTCCCACTTGCCCACTGCTCACCTCCTGCTGTGCTGCTGGGTTCCTTACAGGCCACGGACTAGTAGGGGTCATGGCCAGGGGGTTGGGGACTGTAGCTCTAGACTGTTACACTTTAACAGCCTCCCAGTTGGTCTTCATTCTTCCACTCTTTCCCCTTTACAGTCCATTTACTACACACCAGGCAGTTTGCTTATTTAAAAATGTAAATCAGGGCTGGGCATGGTGGCTCATGCCAGTAATGATAGCACTTTGGGAGGCCAAGGCAGGAGGATTGCTTGAGCTCAGTTCTAGACCAGCCTGAGCAAAAGGGAGACCCTGTCTCTACTAAAAATAGAAAAATTGGCCAGGTGTCATGTTGCATACCTGTAGTCCCAGCTACTCAGGAGGCTGAGGCAGGAGGATCACTTGAGACCTTAAGTTTGAGGTTGCTGTGAGCTACAAAGATACCACTGCCCTTTACCAGGGGCAACAGAGAGAGACTGTCTCAAAAACAACAACAACAAAAAAGTAAATCAGATTGTGACACCACTTCCCTTCAGTTGAAATCCCTTTAGTGGCTTCTACTAGATGGGTGTCACTCAATCTCCAAAGGCCAGAGAAACAGGATCAATAATATATATATTTTCTATATATATAAAGAGAGATTTATTTTAAGAAATTGACTCACATGATTATGGGAGCTGGTAAGTAGGAAAGTAGAATAAGTAAAATAAGGCCTAACTCTTTACTGACTCCTACTTCCCACCAATCCCCTTGTGCTATTCTCTCATTAACTTGATTGCTACTAGCCCTCTAAGGCTACTTACTAAGCTGTTTCCTGTTTAGGGGCTTTGTACTTAACTGTTCTATCTTCAGTGTTGCTTCCACACTTTGCGTGGTGTCTTCTCTTCTTCCTTCACAAAAATTCAAATGTTACCTTTGCAGAAAGTCCTTCTCTGATCTCCCTCTTGCAAGAAACTTCTCCAGTTATTCTCTTTTCATCACATTATCATAGCACTTATCACAATCTGGAATGATCTTGTTTATTTAATGTTTTTTTGGAGCATAGAGATCTTGTCTGTGTTCTTTACTACTGTATTCCCAGTGCCTGGTATATGGTAAATGCTCCATAAATGTTTTTGAAAATGATGAATGGTGCCTCTCATCATAATAAGGAATACAGAATAAATTAAATTTGGCCACACAGATCTTGACATTCCTGTGGGACATCCAAGTGGAAATATTTAATACACAATTGAACTAGAGAGGTCTGGGCTATAGATAGAGAAATAGGAGGCATCTGATTATGGTGGTGGATGAAATCATGTGTAAGTAGAGGCTATGTGAAGATGGCACAGAATGAGAGACAACCTTGAAGGACGTCAACATTTAAGCAGCAGCCAGAGGAAAAAGATACAGGGAGGATAGTTAAGTGTTTAAAACATTTTGTATCCTTCCAATTCTACCATATGTGTGGGTTTCCTTTTTGTAAAAAAAAAAATAGTAATTAAAAAAAATACTGTAGAATATGGTATATTCAATTTACTTCTTGGAGGTCAGAAGACCTGGTTCCAGTAATTCAGATGATTAGATTATATTGAACTGAACACTGGACAGTTTTGGTGAAGAGGGAAGAGCTCACAAGATTCCTTCTTTTCTGGTAATTGCCCTCGTACACAAGAGTAGGTAGGCTCCCTAAAGCCATGTTGGCTGCCTTATCATAGCTGATACGGGGAACGGGGCTAGTCAGAAGCCGATTAACTATGAGGCTGATAAAGCTTGAGCTTCCAGGGCCCCTCATTGTATAGCCCCTTCCATTATTCAAGAAAGCCTTCTAAATTGTATGTGCTTCAAGCCATATAAAATCTGGATTTGCTCCTCAGTGGGTATAAGTAACCCAGTGGAACCATCACATTTTGTGGTAGCTAGTTTCCAACAGTGGCCTCCCCAGTGAACAGTATTCAAACCCTTATGAAGTCTCCTCCCTAGATCTGGCCTGCCCCTATGATTCATTTTTGACCAATAGAATAGGGCAGAAGTACCTACGCCATACATAATGTACCTTGCAGCTTCCATCTGTATCTTTGGAATGCTCACTCTGGTGGAAGCCAGCTATCATTTAAGAAGTTTTACTACTGCAGGACCACCATGCTGTTAAGAAGTTCAAGTTAAACACATAGGCTGTATAGAGAGATGCCACACATGAGAGTGAAGAAGTCTTGGACATCCATCCTAGTTGAGTCTTCAGGTGATTTCATCCCCAATCACCATATGAATGCAACCACAGCAGACCCTAAGGAAAAGTTGCCAATCTGAGCCCAGTCAACCCACTGATCTGTGACAGATAAGTTATTTTAGTTGTCTGAGTTTTGGGGTGAATTGTTATGAATTTAATAGATAACTAAAAGATTCTCTTTCCCAGGACTTTGGAATTTGGAACTCAAGACTCCTAGAGCCTAGGAGTTGGTGGTGGTGGTGGACAGCATCCTGAAGGGAGGGCTACAAACTCCTGCTGAGGTGATGATTTCCCAAACCACCTACTTCCTCCTGCCTTCCCTGAGGTCCAGTTCTCCAGGTCTTCCTTAATTGCCATGAGGTACCACAATATCTTTCCAGTAAATTCCATTTTGGCCTCAGCTAAAAATCTTAAATACATCCTAGTACAGTCTAATTGCAGTTTAGAAATCTTGAGGCTAATTCTCTAGTATACTTAAGTCTATGTTTGGCACATAGTAGGCACTTAATAACTGAATGACTGCATGAATATATTTCCTTTCAGAACTGGGTTCTTTTCCAAGAAAAACCTGCCCACCAGGCCATTGTTTCTTTTCATGAGGGGAAGTCTCAAAGGAAAATTACTAGAGCTGGATCCCAAAAAAGCAAGTGTTTATTACTAGTAAGCACTCAGCATTGTAGCAGTAACTGAACCAGGAAATAGTAAATAAGTGGCTAAGAAGATGCCACATCCAAATTAACTATCTCAAGGTGGAGGAAAGCTATCTCAAGTCTCAGGAAAGCAAGGCCATATATATAAAATATATATTCATATACATATATATATATATATGAAGTGGTAATGTAGTTAGTTATTTGTGTTGGTTGAATAGGTTTTAAGACAATCTGTCTTTAAAAAAATGTTGACAGAAAAAGTGAAATATAGGGAAAGGGAAGCCAAAGAACATTTTTAGTCTCCAGAGAAAAAGGTTAAGTTGACCTGCAGTCTTTTAGCAAATACATATCTAGTGGAGATGAAGGCATCCTCTTGACTTGATATTTAGCCATTAAGAGAACCTTAATGGCTAATAGAGGGAGTAGACTCCCTCTCTGGTTCTACTCTTACCAAGAAGTAATCTAATTTAGTTTCTTACAGAGGAAAACTGACAGTAAATGAATAAAATTGAATTCTGGTATAAAAATTAGTCTCTTGTGACTTTGAGTAGTGTGAACCAATTTCCCTGAATCTCATCAATTTTGTATGCACTGAATGAATCAATTTTCTGGATTAAGAAGTCCAAACTTTGAAATGTGGGCTCATCCTTTCCTTCATCTATCAAACAATTATTGAGTGCCTACCCTGTACCAAAGTATTCTTCTAGGCTCTGGGGATATTAACTTCAAAGTGTTAACCCATATAAAATTGAAAATGGGATGTGGGGGTTGAAGGTGCTATGGAAAAATACACGGGCTATGTGTATGCAGCATTGATAAGTTTTTGAAACAAATTGAGAATTTATTCACAATATTGTATATACTTTTTCAAATGAGGAAGCAGGGAAACACATGTCTATAACTACATGTTAGGGACTCCACTTAGTCCTTAAAACTAACCTGTGATTCACATGTTAAGTCTCTAGGGGAATCCTGTAATTAAAAATACAGTAACTATTCCCAGTTTACAGACAAACAGAATAGGTAATCAATAAATGTTGAACAAAGTAACATTAAAACTTCTGTCCCCACTGGGTGGGGTGGCTCACACCTATAATCCTAGCACTCTAGGAGGCTGAGGCAGGCAGATTGCTAGAGGTCAGGAGTTCGAAACCAGCCTGAGCAAGAGCAAGACCCCCGTCTCTACTATAAATAGAAAGAAATTAATTGGCCAACTAATATATATAGAAAAAATTAGCCAGGCATGGTGGTTCATGCCTGTAGTCCCAGCTACTCAGCTACTCGGGAGGCTGAGGCAGTAGGATTGCTTGAGCCCAGGAGTTTGAGGTTGCTGTGAGCTAGGCTGACACCATGACACTCACTCTGGCCTGGGCAACAAAGCAAGACTCTGTCTCAAAAAAAAACAAAAAAAAAACTTCTCTCCCCAAGAAGTTATCATTAAAGGAGAATAAATAACAGCAGAAGTAAAGCAGAGCTGCTCATAGCTTGTATTTAAGAAGTACCTTAGGCCGGGCATGGAAGTTCACGCCTATAATCCTAGCACTCTGGGAGGCCAAGGCGGGCTGATTGCTCAAGGTCAGGAGTTCGAAACCAGCCTGAGCGACACCCCATCTCTACCAAAAATAGAAAGAAATTGACCAACTAAAAATATAAATACAAAAATTAGCCGGGCATGGTGGTGCATGCCTGTAGTCCCAGCCATTTGGGAGGCTGAGGCAGTAGGATCGCTGAGCCTAGGAGATTGAGGTTGCTGTGAGCCAGGCTGATGCCACGGCACTCACTCTAGCCTGGGCAAGAAAGTGAGACTCTGTCTCAAAAAAAAAAAGAAAAAAAAAGAAGTACCTTATGCACCCATCTCAAAATCTCATAAAGATGAAGTAGCTTAAGGCTAAAGGGCAAAAGGGCTAGGTTAAAAACTCCTATGTGTAAATTCCAAAATCAATGCATCATTATTTTTTCCAGTGATTGCTTGGGAAAAGATTACATTTTGTAAAGATCTGATTTATGTAACTTGATACAGAAACAGCTAAATGAAATTTCTTTCATTTTAAACCAAAACAACAACAACATACCCAAGAATCTTATAAGATATAAAATGATAGTTGATAGTGTCTCCATTCAACTCCCATACATTTTTCCATACTTTTATAGGGCATTGTAAAATCCTATAGTACCTTCTCATTCCTGTCTGGACAGTGGGAAAAACATGCCTTTCCTCAGGAAGTCCCCCAAATTCACATGGTTAGTAAGCTCTCAGTAAACCAGACAAGCCATACTTTCTAGAACCATAACTACCTCTTCACCTCAGATTGTCCACTAAGACGCTGTCACCCAATGCATTAACCATTTGTTGTCTTGGAGAGAGGGAATACTTTGCATGAAGAACTTCAGAACTTCTAACTGGTCTCCCACCCACCCACTTTAGAAATATCTAAAGTGGTATTTTAACAACGCAATCATTTACTCCCCTGCTTGAATGTCCCCTCCCCACAACCAAGCCTAGCTGTAGCCCTTGAATAGATTTTGAGGATCTTGATGTAAAATAGTTATTAGCCCTCAAAGCCATTCTTCTCCTTTATAATCCTTTTCCCAACTAGAATTAATGCCAGTCTTCACTGCTAGGTCATAAGTTTGAGTGCAGCTTCAGTTTTGCTTTTTTGTCATTCACAGAGCCAACAATGTAACATAGTAAGGTAGTGACTTTTTAAAATGACTTTTTACTGTCATTAGGAAGGCTACTTATAGCCACTTGTACTAGTTCATTTGGTTCATCCGTTACTAAGGGGATTTTTCCTAACTTGGCAAATCCTTTATGTGAACTTGCTATCCTGACTACTTACTTTTTAAGCCATTCAACAAGTCACTCTTAAATTTCCTCATCACCATTTCTTAACACTCAAAATTTTCATCAAACATGTTAACATGGCTAACCTCTCCATTATCACTCAATCCAGTCTTCATTTGTTTAAATGCACCCCACTGTTCACATCTTTCTTAAAAATTCTTCCTAACATCTGTGATTATATGGTGTTACAATACCCTGATCCTACTGTTCACTCCTTTTTCCCAAAACTCTTGTGTATAGTTCTCATCCCTCTTGTATACCCTCCTTTAGAGAACCACCTGCTTTAACAGCTCTATTCTGGTATCTTATTTGCATATTACTTTATAATATGCTCTAATGTTTCATTTGAGCCTTTTAATTCTGAAAGGTAGGTCTTAGTGCACCCATTTTACAGATGAACAAAATTGAAGTTCAGATAACTGCCTTACCTAGTAAGTGGTTAAGTTTTCAGGAACTTAAATTCAGGTCTTTTGACCCTGAATTTCATGCATTGATTAACCACGGCTCCCAAGTCAACTATTTGACTGACTGCCTTAAGTGCACTTTTATTTCTAAAGGATTGCTACAATGACTAAAACCTGTGAGCACCAAATTCCTTTAGAGCTTAGGGAAAATAATTATCAAAGGTCTCATCACAGAGACTGATGGGGGACCAGTGAACTATTCTATAGTTATATTGGCTCAAGTTATTTTAGCCTATACATCAAGTATAAATTTTTCATCTTAGCTCACTATAATCTGGTTCCTTCTTGCCATCTTATCTCTACTTTTCAAAACCAACCCCTTCTTTATTCAGGTTGGTATCCTCAAGTGTTCTATTGCACCTCTGTTCACAGTAGTTCCAGAAATTAAAAATGCCCTTCCTTCTAAAATCATTACTCTGAGTAATGGTAAATAGAGACCTTGGGTCTCATGCGTGGTGGCTCATGCCTGTAATCCTAGCATTCTGGGAGGCCGAGGTGGGCGGATTGCTCGAGGTCAGTTCGAAACCAGCCTGAGCAAGAGCGAGACCCCGTCTCTACTATAAATAGAAAGAAATTAATGGGCCAACTAATATATATAGAAAAAATTAGCTGGGGATGGTAGCACATGGCTGTAGTCCCTCCCAGCTACTTGGGAGGCTGAGGCAGAAGGATCGCTTGAGCCCAGGAGTTTGAAGTTGCTGTGAGCTAGGCTGATAACATGGCACTCTAGCCCAGCATGAGAGTGAGACTGACTCCAAAAAAAAGAGACCTTGATTCTAGTTCCAGCTCTGTGATCTTGGAAAGACACTCTTCTAAACTCATTTCCTTATCTGTAAAATAAAGAGGTACACTTAGACATTGTAGTTTTCTTCTAGTTTAAAAATTGTACTGTTATCTATAAGTCTACTTGATAATACTGTATATATATTTTATTGGCTTAATTGGTAAATTTGAGAAAGCTTTGTATTCATGTACAAACATGATCATACAAGAAAGCCAAGGCGTCGGGAATAGCATATTATAGTGATAACTAAATTTAAGTCTCCCAGAATAGCTACATGGTCTTGGGTCACAGCTTTCTCTGAGCCCCAATTTCCTTATCTATTTTTCCTTATCTGTGACCCACTCTAAGGTTTGTCCTGCAGATTAACATGAAAATGGAAAGTAATGTGAGCAAACTGTATACTTGTAAACAAAACCAGCCCTATACATTAGAAATTGTATTATTTCTGGTGGCTGATAAAATATAATCAAAGAAAAGTGCTTCCATAAAAGTTTTATTTATCCCCACAACAACCCTGTGAGGTAGGGTGATAAGGGCATTTGAAGATGAGAAAACTAAATCTACATTACTTGTTCACGGCTATACTGCATAGTAAATAAGTAGAAATTAAATTGAAATTTTTAAATGTCCATGACTTTATATTGATTCATGTGGAAACAGGTAGAGAGAATATTAACTCCCCCCTACCTTAATGCCAAAAGGACACTGCCTTGAAAAATCCCATTTCAAAAGATGAAAGTAGTATTTCATTGCTTATTTCTAAAAAGATTTATAAAATAAAAAAATAGTGAAATATTTTACAGGTAATATATATAATGGTCTCATTCAGGGACATGTCCTTCAGCTGTGTATATGATCAACTATTCCAAGTCCTAGAAATGCAAAGTCTTAAAAAAAGTGTCAAAGACAAAATGATGAGCAGTAGCCTCAATCTTCATTATTCCTCCATGTATCTTGAATAAATTCTGTGAAACCTGGTCCCATGTTTAAAAAAGAAACACTACAAAGATATGTCTGGTAAACTTTTACTTTGTTGCCTAGTCTCAAAACACTATCACATTACTTAAAACAGTGATTTCCCAAACCTGGCTATTGAGAATCATTGGGAAAGCTTTAAAAAATATACAGAGATCCACGCTAGAGCCAGTGAGACAATTTTCCAGAGGTAGGCCCCAGGAATCTGTATTTCAAAAGCTCATCAGTATAATTCTAATGCAGAGTCAGGGTTGAGAACCACTGATTTATCTTACTACTATCAAAACCATAAAGTAACTAGAATAAATTTGTTGCTTTCATATCCCCTTTTTAAAAAAAAGATCTCAGAATATGTAATATCCCCAGAACTCGTGCCTCTGAACAAGTAATTTCAATTCAAGATACAGAGAAACATTTTATAAAAATGTATCCTAATTAGTGAGACTTGGATTCCAATAATAATTTAGTATTTAAAGATAAGATACTGAGTTTTGTGGTTTCTATTCTGAAAATCTTAAATGTATGTAATATAGGTTTCTTGTAGGCTTTCAATTTAGGGGAAGACATGAAAAGTAATGACATAAGCACATCAGCACTAAAAAAATACTATACTCAAATATAGCTCATGAGAGGAATAAAAAAGTGAATGAATGACAATCAAAGGCCTTTTGGCCCATACATTTTTGTTCCCAGTCCACTCTTCCCCTATAAGGGGAAATAAAATAAACATTCTTTCCTAGTTGCTTGGCATAGTTATTCAGTGGGTAACTATCAACTAAGTTAATTTAGATACACAAGATTTAAGAGAGATAACAAATAAATACCTAGGAAGACAAAGAGAAGTCAGGTCGGAAAACCTTAACTAGCTAATAATGTAGTATATAACACCATCATATTAGTACAATTATATGAAGGCTTCAGTGTCCTTTACATTTCAGCTTTATGTGACTGACACAGACGTGGAAGAGATCTGGTCCTTATGAAGAATTCTGTGCTCGCTGGAAAGATTTGTAGGTATAATGAAATGTTTTTCTTCACTGATGAGATGAAGTCTCTGTTTTTCAGGCAAGTTGACTGAACAGAACAATGAGAAACAAACTTCTTTAGAAGGTTGAATGAAAGTAATATCTAGCTGAAAAAGACATTGGCCAAAAATAACTTTTTTAAAAAACCATTCTATGTTAACCCTTAAAAAAAAAAAAAAAAAAAACAGAGAAATATAAAAAAAACAATGTACACATCCATTTCACTGACAGTTACAAGAAAATAGCTGTTTATAGAAGTTACATAATGCTTTCAACAAATCCCCAACAATTTTGGGGAAACAGATAAAGCCATCGGGTAAATAAATATACATACTAGCTAATATAAAACAATTTATGGTTACGAATTGTCATCAATTTTTTTAGGACCCAAGGAGAAATATGGTGATATAAATCTGATTAGGGCTACATATATTACATGGAATTAAAAAACACAACTGATTAAAACATCCTCTCTAACAATGATACAAATATTTAAAAGAATGTCTTAAAAGTCAGACATTTATTACTGGAAATAGCACAATTTTAATATGTACTTCAGAGTTTTAATGTGTATACAGGTCACTTTTGTCTCATCAGGTATCAATCTCTCCTGCATTTACTACAGTCAGTTTTTGTAAGAGTTCACATTTCCTGTGTGAGCAGAAGGGGCTGGGCACATCTCAATTAAAAAAATATACACCTCCAATTAACCAAATGGAAGTGTTTAACGTTTACCAACAGAGAGTGACAAGACGGGGGTAATGGGAAGATAAAACATTATATTAAGATTGAAGGAAGCTGACTAAATTGTCTCTTTATAAATTATTTTAAATTTTTTATTAAATTTAAAATGACCCAAGTAAAGTAATGAAGAAAAAATATATTAATTTGGTCTCAAGAAATTTTCTCAGGCCATATAAAATTTCCCTTAGTTTATTTCTTTACGGAAGCTTCTTATGCTTGATTCATTTATCAGCTGACTTAAAGGAACTCTCTCCTAGCATGGGATCGAAAACAACTATTACCATTAATAAAAGACAATTTAAAAAATGATGTTTATTATTAAAGTGCCCAGGGGCACAATGGTATAGGTGCTTACATTTCCCTTTAAATTATGGGAAAGCCCTTTGAAACTGTATTTACTTAGGAAGACTTTCAGCAATTATAATGTATGCTGAAAGTTCAGATCTTGTATAGGTTTTGGGTTTTGCTGTTTGAACAGAAAAAGGAGGGGAGCAGGGAGAAATGTAACTAGGTTCACAATTTTGAGCAAGAGCATATGTAAAGGTAACGTATGTACATTTTATTTCAAGAAAGACAGAAGACAAACAGCATAAAGATGCCCATATGCCCTAAAGATAAATACATTTCAAAGATTCTCATTAAAATGAATCTGTAGTATTTTTTCCTGCAAGCAAAATACCTTTCTTTAAATTAAAAAAAAAAATCAGTATTCTGAATTGCAAATGCTTTTGCTTTTTTTGCAGAAAATCTGCCATGATTATTTTTTTAATGAATAAGGATTTTCCACAAAACAGGCTTGCTCTACATGCTAGATTTTTAAACATTTCAGTGACACAATATGCTAACTACATACACAACAGATAATATAGTAAGAAAACACTCAACCTGATGAAAAGTTAAAATCTTCATTAATACACTGAAAATTGACATAACTCATGCCTTTAAAATCAAAAATACAAAAATTAAATGTTTTCCTAAAAAGATTTCCTTATTTTAAGGATTCATTTGAAAATGAAGCTGCATGTAATTTGTACAGTAAGTTGTACAAGTAAACAGGTAATATACATAAAAAATTAATTGACATACTCCTCAATTATCAGTTGTCCACCTTTAATTTCCAATACTGTACTTTCTTAACAAGCATACAAAATATCAAACTTCTCTTTAGAAAAAGTGCTGTTCTTTGACATCCTTTACATAAAAACAGTCTGAGCCTGTGGCATGTTAATGCAGTTGAGAGGCAAAGCATACTAACTTTTACAAATTCTACCTTCCATAAAAAGCCTCTCGAAAAGGAGATTACACGCCACTATAAAAATATCAACCTCTTGTGGTAGCTGCATTAGAGAACCAAGGCTTGAAGACTATTTTCATATAGCATAGAAAAACCACTATGAGAGCATATTAACTGCATTGGTGGCTTGGGAGTGTACTGTGCCACAGGATTATGCATAGCTACTGTTAGGTACCAAGACTGTTACACAGAGTTTTAAATTGATTGTAACCGAGAGCATAACAGAGGTACTACCAGCCCATGCAAAATAACTAAAAATACTGAGTCACTGTGCTGAATACTTCATTCCTGGAGAAAACCAAAGGCAGCAGTAACTAAATCAAGCCCAACAGGTGACCAAACCCATTCTCCTCAAAGATTGGTGAGCACAGTGAATTCTGAGGTATACCTTTATCCATTTAAATCTGTGTGCCATTGCAAGATATTACCATTTGGGAATACACGCCATCACAATGGTTTAAATCTTTTGAATATTAGTCATTCATATATTCTTATCTACCCAGTCTCTTGATTTTTGTAAAGATTTCACCTACAGTAGAATATTACAGAAACAAAATATAAATGCATGTCTTCTAAATGAAACTTACATGGACTAAAATAGAGAATATTTTTAAACAAATATACAATATGCAGGCAGACAAAGCAGGAAAACGGCCATTCAAATGTATAATAAAAAACTAAAAATTGACTATTTCCAGAAAACTATGAAGCGCCTCAACTAAAAGGAATGCATAATGAAATTCTAATCTAATATAGGTCAAAAATGTAAAAAGGTTATAAACCTTAACAGGAAAAATAAAACAACTTTTACTGGCCATTCCTGTTGAAATGAGAATCGTAAAGTAACAGAAAAGTGGCTACAAACCCACTTAGAGCACCAAACAGAGAGAAAATAAAAGTCCATTTTCATCTCTGTTATTATCATAAAATCCTGTGTGACTACAGGTCAAACTGCTGGTGGCAGAAACAGAATTCTTTATAAACTGCAGATGTCCTGTACATAAAAAAATTTCACTGGAATTGCACTAGTTCTAAAGACTCTTCTGTTTTAGCCTACCTACTGTATGTATTCAATCTGAGATAGATAAAGTCTCTTTCTGTAACCCTTGATTATTATTGGGCACCAAAGATAAGAAAAGCAAGACGGGGTACAAAAATGCAAAATTTCAACAGTAATGGCAATGTTTTTGTCTTAGTCCAAAAGGGTCCTCTCCCCCTTCAGTGATTTGACAAGTCTTTGTACTTAATCTGGGGGCAGCAAATCATGCAAGCGAAATCTGTCTCTGATGTGAGGTCGAACATCTTCATTCTGTGTGGAAAAAGAGACAATTTTTTGAAACCTACATAATTTCAAAGATATAATAATATTATAAACATTCTTATTTTGCAGAGAAAATATACTATTTTATTTTACAATTAAAATGTTATTGTTTGTCAAATATAGATATACTACACAGATATAATTAACTCAGAATTAAATTTAGGTTAAAGAAAACTTTCATTAAAGTTTTAATTTCATAAGAACAATGAAGCAATAAGAGGTCAAACAAAAAGATAGATAAAAGGGTTAAGCCACTGAATTCTACTTTCTACATTAGTCTTTAAAGTTGACTGATCCATGGATATAGGAAAATAATTCTGAGAATAAAGCTTCAGTGACATAGCATTAATTCTAGTTGTGAATTATGAAAGCAAAATGAAATCAACTTAATGTTATTTCAAACACAACGGGTTAGTGATTTATAAGAGGAAGTCTACTGAAACAGTAAACATTTAACCTATACATTTAATACTGATAAGCATAATTTTAATATATAAAATTTTAAAAAATGCATAGAATGCTTTTTAACATTTGCCCCAATCTCCCACCACAGCTGACTTTATTATTATTATTTTTTTTTAGAGAGATGGAGTCTGGCTGTGTTGCCTAGGCTGGCCTCAAACTCCTGGGCTTGTGATCCTCCCACCTCAGCCTCCCGACCAGCTGGGACTACAGGTGTATGCAACCACACTCGGCTCATAGTTGACTTTAAATGTCAGTACATATAAAATGAAGAAATTAAAAAGGAGATTTATTTCAATATAGTTGAGCTAACAAAAATACAATATGGAAAGATAAATTATAAGATATACTTACCAGTTCTACAAGCTTCTCCAGAAATGGAATCAATTTTAGGAGTTCATTGTCATTTTTATCCATAAACCAGCTTTCTATAGGGATTCCATTAGAAAGCTAAAATGATAAATAAGTAAATTAAATCCTCTTTTTACTTATATTTTGCCTCGTTTGGAAAAGCTTAAAAAAGAAACAGATTTAAGTAAATACTGCTCTAAGACTTCCTTTCAAAAGGAATATCACAAGAGTTTTCATTGACAACTCAACAGTACAAGAGACAGATGTTAAAGAATAACTTGAAGCCTATTAGTTTTTCAGTGTCATTTCTTCTCAGTGTATATAAAATTAAATAAGAAAGTTCCATTAAAGCAAGTTTTGTAAGGGTCATTAACATAATTCAAAACATTCGTTATTCAAGAAGTAATGACTATTAGTACAATGCTAGGCATTGTGAATGAAGGGATATTGCCAATCTAAACAGAGAACAAGAACAGAACACATACTTTTTTTTTTTAAACATAGGGACCATTGTCCCATTCATTATTCTAGTCCCCCAAAGCAGCATGATAACCTGAAACACAGCAGAAACGTAACAAACTGACTCAGTGGTATTTCAATGAAGAAGAGTCTAAAAACAATGTTACATATGAGATAGAGGATACTTGAAATGATTTTATCTAGGAACCAAGATGAAATTCGAAAGGACAAGCAAGTAAAAGCAGGGACCTAAAGTGAACACATTTCAATATCATATGCAGTTGTTCCCTTTTTTGCTTTTTTTGTGGATATTTTGACACTCAAAAGTTAAAGGCCAATCTTGTTGTTATTTATACTCCATCCATTTTCCATTGTCCCTATTCTGCACTGATTTACTGTGAAGCAAAATCTCCGAAATCCTATCACATGGACATATTTGTAATATAAAATATATCTTTCAAGGATGGCTCTTTAGTTATAATTATATTTCAAAGGAATGTTAACAAAGGGTACAAATAGATTGCCGGAATAGTCTAAGAAAATAATTCAGAATG